CTTCCTTTTGGTACAAGCATCTCCCTGAGCCGACGATTCTCCCGCAGTGACACCTCTCACAGGCACTAATGAGATCCGTGTCACAGAACTAATGCATTCTGACTGGACTACTGATAGACACCCCACTCCTTCAGGGGAGACCACAGACCAGTACTCCCCTCTGGGGACCAGGCCCCCACCCTGCCACCTGCCAGCCCAGCTCTCTTGCCAAACCATCCTAGGCAGCAAGTTCCTGAGAGAGTCCACTCGGTCTCTGGCCATGCCTCTTGCACCATAAGCCTCAGAGGGATCCTCCCTAGTTCCAGAGCGAAGGGGCTAAGCTCTCAGGGCAGGACCACCCACGTGGGCATCAGGGAAGGTTCCAGTTACTCTCCCAGCCAGCTGAAACCAGCAGTTTGTGGGGCCTCCATGTCACAGTAACACAAGATTTTACTGACATTTCCTGTACAGATTTCCAAAAAGAAAGAAGGGAAGGAGGCCAGGCCCCTTCCTCAGAGAGTCCCCAAGCATGTAGGGCCTGATCATCAACTCTGACAAATTGTAATTGAGCCTTAGTGTGTATTCTGTACACCCATACTGGGAGGGCCAGGCAAGATTCCCAGAGGAGGTGGCTCCTGGAAGATGGGCAGGATTTTCTTGGGCCAAGTGGTGGAGAGCAAATTGAAATCTCAGCGTAAGAACCGTCAGGGCCAGAAGGAGGTCAGATGCCAACAGCTGTGAGGCCCTGGCTCTGAAGGTAACAGCAGCAGGGTGAAGATGTGGCAATGCCTCTTTCTTCTTCAGCTCCTGCCACCAAAGCTTTGTCAAGGTCTGCAGGCTTTCACACGATGCCGAGGGGAAAGAGCGGAGTGAGCTTGTTTTCTTCCACATCATCTCTGTCAGTAGCACAAAGCCTGACACCAAAAAGATGCTTCATAGTTCAGCACAGTGATGAGAACACAGGCTTTGCACTTAAATGGATGAGCCCTGGCTCCTCAACTCAACTGGCTGTGTGACCTTAGGCAAGTAAGTCACTTAACTGAGCCTCAGTTTCCTCATCTATAAAATGGGAATGATTCCTGCCTTCATAAGACTGTTGTCAAAATTAAATCGGTTAATATAAAGTGCCCCAAAATAATGAGTGCCTTGCTGACCCTTTGCTGAAATGAAAGATGGATCACTCAGCAGTACACTCCGGAAGCTGCCCTGCCTCACAGCCTTTGGCCCAAGCCAAGGATGCTGACAGGACCCACTGGCAGCCTTGGAAGTCAGCAGTTCTGAACACATGCAGTCCCTCTTCACCACAACCCACTCCAGCACCACCTTGTCCACCAGGCTCCCAAGGCCAATCCACTACCCCAGGAAGAAGTGTCCCTCCCCTGACTAAGATGTCATGCTGCCCAGTGTTCCACTGCCTCTAGACCCTCCCTGGCTATCCCTGAACCCTCCCTCTCCCTCAGTCCTCAGGGCCAAGCTCACAATTATTCCTGTGAGCTCTGTGGGGGCAGGTCACTGTGTCTGTCATCTTTACCGATTCACTTCTAGCGCCTATCACAGTTCCTGACATACAGTAGGTGCAGGGTAAACATTTACTGAATGAATGAAAGTTATACCTGGTCCCCTGCCTCCATTCCCATGGCTGCTGCCCCAGCTGTGAATCAACCATCACCTCTTGCTTACCTCACTGTACCTCCTCTCTGGCCTCCCTGTCTGCAGTTTCTCCTTAATAATCCTTCCTGTACGAACTATCAGACTGCTCTGACTGAAGCCCAACTCTGACCAAGTCACTCTCCTGTCCCAAACACTCTCCTGGCTTCTCCTCAAACATCTCAGCTTGCCATGCACAACCATCCCAGCTGGCCCTCTCCCTTTTATAGCCTGCCCTGCACCTGTCACCCCAACTCTCCAGCAAGGATCTCCCTGCCCTGCACCTGTTACCCCAATCCTCTAGCAAGGATGCCTCCTTGCTCTCTTAGCACACCAGCAGTGCCACGTTCCCGTGGCACTGTGGGAGAGCCAAGCAGACCTGAAGATGGCAGGGCTGCAAGATCTACAGAATCCTTGCCCAGCATCACCCAATGCTGCCTCACCCCCCACCAATATACATACCACTCCCCAGTCCAGGCTGGCAGCTACTCACACAGTTAATTAGCACCATGTCACTGAGGACCAGACTGAGTGGCCAGTGACAGGAGCTGACCCCTGACCCCAGGGCTGGGAAGCAGTCCACATCAAACTCTTACAGCGCGACCCTTTTAGCACGCACAGTAACTCGGGGCACCGCCAGCTGAAGCTCATTAAAGCTGTCTCTTTGGCACGAGGGCCATTAACCTCACTGCTCAAAACCCACGCCTCCCCTCCCCGCCTCTCCCAGCCCAATTAATGCCCTGCATACTCCCTCCCTTCCAAGCACACTCACCCACACCTCAGAGCCAACCAGGAGCTGGCAGGGCAGCCCTCTTCATTCAAAGACTACAAACACCAAGTGCCAAGAATCCCCAGTGCACTGAGGAGCCCCTGGTGTTGGCAGGGCAACAGAGGAGGAAGCTCCTTAAGCACCTACTGTGTGCCAGGCATTGCATAAACCCTTTACACAGGTGACTCACTGAACCTTCCCAATAGCCCCAAGAGGCATGGAGCATTGTCCCTTATCTAAGGTCACAGGGTTCTGGGTGGTACAGTCAGAACTTCTCCTGGCTCCAAAGCCCTGTGGCCCACCCAGATGGAGAACCCTTCTTCTCTGAAGGAGGAGGGTACCTCAGGGGTCCTAACCCAGGGTCAACAAGGGTGAACAGACAGGAGAGGCACCACTGAGTCTCAAGAGACAGCAAAGAGTGAGAACAGGGAAACCCTCCCTGGGACAGACACACAGAAGCGGGGCACCCAGCTCAAGGTTCTGCTGGGTGCACTAACCCAGTCCCACTTGTCCTTTCCACCAGCCAGACTCAAGTGCTGACAGCTCCTCCTCCCCTGGACCAATGCAAGTCTTCTCACTGGTCCTCTGTCTCTGGTCCCTCCCTTTCCTGTTACTCTTTCACTGATTCATTTACTCGCCCACTTGTTCATTCATACTTCCATGGGCATTCATTGAGCACTAACTAAGAACTATTTTTGTGCAGCATAAACGGTCTCGTTGATTCTGACTCAGACCTCTGATCATGTCATTTTCAAACTCACAAACATATGTCTCCTCAAAACCTCGGGAAAAATCCATCCATACCTCTTAGCCAGGCACTCAAGGCCCTGCTTATTTCTCTATTTTCTAGCTGTTTCCTAACTCAAATTCTTCACTCCAGTCATGGGAAACTACTTGTAAATGTCTGAACTTGTCCTCTCAACATGCTGGGCTTTCTCATGCCCCTAGGCCTTTGTACACACAGTCCCCCTACCTAAAATACCTTTCCTCCATTTTTCTGCCTAGCAAACTCCTATTCATCCTACAAGGGTCCTGACTCAAGTGTCCTCTTCTCTAGAAAACTTACTGCTGACCTCCCAGGCATATCACCTTGCTGGGTTTGGTGCCTTCTCCAGGTTACATGGAAAACCCTCTATGGGAGAGAACAGCAGTTACAGTGGGGTACCCCCAGTTCCCCAGGCCTGTTTCCTTTTTCCCCCTGGACCCCAGAAGAGCTTTGGTATGTCCCAATAAGAATGATATGGGGCATCCCAGGAGTCAGTGAGATGTAAATGAAGAAGTAGAAGCTCCTTGGCAACTAAGGACAGGGAAAACCTCCTTTGGAGTAACCCAGGTGTTTCTATCACAGCCCTTAGTACCAAGGTGGCAAGCACCTATTTCAGTCTGTCTCCTCCCAGGATGTGGGCTCCCTGAGGATAGGAACTTCTACTCAGCTTGCTCAGCACCCACTAGGCACCAGTGAATGTCTATGAAATGGATAAAGGGGCTAGACTATAGCAGGTAATTGGGTCCTCTGGTCCTTCTGGTGTATCCTTCCAGTCCTCCCCCAACCCCTCTAGTGACACGTCCCCAAAGGTACATAGCAGTGATAATGTCATAACACCACCCAGGAACACCCTGGCTCCTCCCCACTTGGAACAAAGCCTATGCCTGGTCAAGTACCCTGCTTGAAAGCATTTGCATGCACACTTGTGCGTATGCACAAAAAATGAGATACACAGAAATAGACTTTGAGAGATACACACAAAGGCTACTGGTTATTTCCATGTACAGACACATGCTCTCAGAAAAATACAGATATACTGTTATATACACACACATACATCCCTCAAACAGACAATGTACAATCATGGACATTTATATTCTCAGACAGACACACAGAGACATATAGCTGAGAGTGTCATGCATACGCAGACACACAAATACTCAGAAACACACATTCATACTAATAAATAAGTCAGAAGCCAGCAGAGCCTCCAGCTGCCTGGAATCATGGCCACTTCAGTCCCCTCCCAAGCAGGAATCCCCCTGAGGGTGTACCCCCACCTGGTACCCCAAGTGGCCCCTCCCAACTTAGGCATCACTCAATGGAGGCTGCTGCTCCTGCAGGGGAGTCAATACCCTATGGACGAAGCCATTGGTCAGAAGGACCCCGACTAATTAAAAGCTGGTGAGGTTTAAATAATTCATCTCCGTAATTCCCATTGATCGTCCAGTTTAGTGGCCACAGACTTGAAACAATATTAAACAGCCTCCTCCAGCTCCACAGGGGGTAGGTAAGGTGACATGTGCCCACCCCTTGAGGACATTGCCCACTAGGGATGCAGCCAGTTGGGTGTAGGGCGAACCTTGGCCTGAATCCAAGGCCATCTGTGACTCACCCAAAGCCCAGACCCCAGACTCCTCCAAAGTGTAGTTTTGAGAGATCCTTTCTAATGGTCCTGTTCCATAATCCCCTTACTTTACCTCCCCTTTCCCCTGCCCCAAGCTATGGAGAGAGGCCTCTTGGGGTACTGAGCCATGGAACCCCTCTATGTGCCAGGGGACTGGGGCATGTAGGCAGGGGACTGAACGAGCTGCCAGGGGGGTATGAGGAGGGACTAACCAATGCCGCTGTGGGGCCGACCTATGTGTTGCAGGCTGAGGCCCTTGTTCATGTCTAGAAGTCCATTCTTGGGCCAGCAGCCCATGGCGAAGCTGTAAGCCTGTAAGACAGGAGGCAAGAGTGGTTAACAGAGGCCCTGACCCCTGAACCAACCCCACTTTCCCACAACCCCCCAAATCTTCCCACCAAGGACCTCCTCTCATAATACCACCTCCTGAGTCTCCTCACCGGGTCCCCTTTTCACCAGCACCTCCCCACCCCATACTAGAAAACCCATTCCTTCTCCAGAGTTCCCTTTCTCACAGACTTCTCCCCATCAGAGTCCCCCTGCCCTCACCAGGGCTCCTCTTTAGAGAGCTCCCATTTACTAAGATCTTTCTGATCAGGAGCCATCCTCTCACCAGGACACCCCCTTTACCATGCCCCCCTCCTTAGATTCCCCCCTTTCCAGAGCCTCCAGCACTTGGGTGGTCTCCCTCCCCACAGTACTACTGGCCACATGGACTGCTCTCAGGAAGGACCTTGGAGACCAATGTATCCATACTTCATTCCACAGATAGGAATACTGAAGCCAGAGCTGGCCAACAACCTGTCCATAGTCAAGGTGCTTTTGACTCCCAGCAGGCCAGGCTGTGGAAGGCTCTGAGTGCCCTGTGAGGGCTCAACTGAGAAGGGAGTAAGGTCACCTGGTTGACTCAAGCAGCTGTGAGGGAAGTATGTGTGTGTGTGTGTGTGTGTGTGTGTGTGTGTGTGTGTGTGTGTGTGTGTGTTGGGGGGAGGAGATGCTCTGCTGAAGGTCAAGTGCTCACTTATGCATATTCAAAGCGGCCACCCATCGATCTGTACTTAATTGTTTTCCTGGGGTTGAGGAAGAAAGTGCTGGGGGCATCGATCTGCTCAGGCCCCCAGCACTCCCTCGGCCCCCTCCGTCCCCTACCCGCACCACCTGGCTGCCAGCAACCTCCATCTCAGGGGACACATGGCAGGACAGGAACAGCACCTTCCCTTAAAGTCCTTTATAGACATGACGGACCTGATGTCACAGATGAGGAAACTGAAGAGACTTACGAGGGTTAGAAAGCTATGAAGTAGCCAAAAGGGATTTAATTCCTGCTTAGCCTGCTAACAAAGTCCTAAGCTTCTAACCAGCGGGCCTGGCAGCTAGTTGACCTTTCAAACATTACTGGTTCCCTCAGTTTAGAAGTCCCCAAACACCAGGCTGCCCTTCTCCCAGTGGCAAGAAGGTGATAGTGTGCAGGACAGTGGTCAGTGAGAATGAAGCTTGTATGAGTTCCCAGAAATTGGGTGGTGGGTTCAGTGAAGGAACCAGTGACTGCCAGCCATGATCAGACCAGCACTGCAATGCCCCTGCCCATTGCTGGGCCCAGGAGGTCCCCATCCCACTATTCATAAGGAAGAGGGTACAGCACAGGGTCAGAAAGGAAAGATAAAGAGTCTGGACAGAGTCTGTGCCAGAGCCCAAGGGCTGACACAGGGCTAGTACTCTTCCTCCCCAGCTGCAGGAACCCAAACCCTCCAGCCCTATGGGTACTAGGAAGCCAGGAACCAGTGTACTCAAACCTCAGCACCCTCCAAAGCCATTTTGACCACAGAGGTACCAGCTGCAGCCCAACTTTCCAGGCATCCCTCTCTCACCTTTTCCGAGGCCACAGGTGTACCCACAAATCAGGGGCTGAGTATAAGGCACAAGGACAGGGGAAGGGGTGCTAGTCTAGAGCCAGAGCAGATCTGGGGGAAGCAGGCAGCAAGGGAAGCAGCCAGTGGGCGGTGCACAGCTGGAGGAGCCGCTGAGCACGATCAGGGCTCAGGCTGGAGTGCAGTGGGCCAGAGAGCAGTGGCGGGCCGCCTTTCAAGTACTTTAAAATCACTTACAAAGGCCGGATTAAACGATCAGAAATTCCATTTAATAGGACAAATAAAGAAATAACAATCTACTCTATCAGCCCGGAGAAGGTGAGCTGGATGGTTTTTTTTTCCCCCCTCTAAAAAGGAAAAAGGAAGGACGGGGGGAAAAAGAAGGATAATGTGTGTTTACTCAAGCAAAGAAAAAAATATTTAAGTGATGTCGGGGAGAAGATTGCAGTAACTAGTGAAGAATAACATCGTCTACTTTGCTGTCAAATCACACCCGAATTTCAGTAATAGATTCTAGGCTGACACTCAATTCAATTCGAAGGTGATCCTGCTTTATCCCAGCCCATCAAATATTAAACACTTGCATTAGCAGGTGCTGCCGCTTCCCGGCTTAAAGCAGCGGGCGGGCGGCAGGGCTGCTGAGGGCTCTCTGCGCTGCTCACGGCTGGGGGACAGGGCAGCTCAACGTTATCTGCACGTCATCCTGAGTCTTATCGCAGCTAAGCGGGAAGACCACTTCAGATAACATTAGACGCTTGTCCTGACGCATCACCATGATTAAATTATTATTATGACTCACCAAGATCTTCCACAGACTGGGATGTACAAGGGGGACAGAGGGCAGCAGAGCCCAGGAGGACCAGGCTGGGCCCAGACACGCCGGAGCCCCTGGTAGGAAAGCAGAGGTAGCAAGCGAGGTGGCAGCCCAGTCCCGCCTGACAGATGCCTTTCAGGAAGGGCAGTCTAGCTTGTCAGAGCGAGGGCGAGATGAATTGGCGTCTCCACTGCGGCCACGGGTGTCATGCCGCACAGTTTCATATTCCCCGATAAGGCATGATAACCAATTGCTGCCGTGACATGGCCTCATCCAGCACTTCCTCAGGGGGGCACAGGGCGGGGGAAGGGGGTGGCACGTGAACATGGGTCTGCCAAGATCCTAATAAGAGGGATTTAATTTTTACAAATGCTGCTTCCAGCGGGGCCTTCACATACCAGCCAAAGTCCAAAATGATATTAAAAACGGTTAATTAAAACTGCTCGCCTTCAGCCTGGGCTCTCTCCGTTGCCACTGCTGTGAACCCTGGCATGTCTCCCGTGGGTACTGACACATGGCCCTGCAGAGCTTAACCTTCGGTCGTGACCCCCAGCCCCAGAGAACCACCCTACGCACTGTACCAGGGCCCAGCACCTCAAGCTACCCCCAATTCCTGCCATCTCGGGTACCCTCAGGCACAGCCAGTAGACATAGCCACCCACCCAGAGAACAGAGGTCCTACAGCAACCTGTACTCATGCTAGTGTATGGTCTGAATCTTGTACCTGTGCCCATATGTCCCCCCACCCCTGCACCCATTACTAAAGCCCCTCCCCCTCCCCGAGATACATACACCATGGAGTTCCGACCACATACATGCTTACAATCTCACATGTGCATCAGACTCTCCCTCAGGTGACTATGCCCATCCTTCCATTCCTTGCTCCCTCCAGACGTCCTGCTTATGAGACTGCATCTGTCTGCAAATCTTAGCAGAGTCCTGCCTGGGAGTCCAGCTCAGGGCAAGGTGATAGGGGCTGCGTCTCGGAGATTTGGGCTGAGAAGTCAAGGCTGGCTCCCAGGGACTCATCAGAGCAGGAGGGTCAAGGAGGCTGAGCCCTGTGTGTTGCCCACAGGGGACAATGAAGAGAAGCAGGCCCATGTGGGGTTGGAGGAGGCTAGAAAAGCTTCCTGGAGGGAGTGGTACTGAAGGGCCAGGAGGTTTGACAGATGACAGGGGAGTATAACATTCCAGACAGAAGACACAGCAAGGACAAAGGAGAATGGCAGGAGCAAGCACAACAATGGCTTGGGTGTGGCTGGGACAGCCAACTTAGAGACAAGGAGCCACACCTTGAGGCACTGCCTCCCAACTCTGTGCACCAATAGCAACTCAGGCATCCAGGGGCCATATGTTTACCCCTTTACTCCTGCCTGCTTTCTCTCCCTGCTCCCTTTCTCTCTCCTGCCAGCCCGTGGCAAGTGGGGATAAGCGGTCCAGAAGCTTTTTGACCTTGATCAGTCTGGGGCAGGAATCTCTCTCCAAGAGCATGTGCCTGAGAGGGTTCCCAACACGGGTACCAAATTCTCTGGATGTCACTTCTGTAGCTGCACCTGTCTCAGCCATCAGGGCCCACCTGTGCACAGTCAGTACCTAACTCCTGGGGTTCCTGGCCACAGGGTGAGGCAGGTTGAAGGAGGACCAAGGAGCTCTTGAGTCCTATACAGGGCAGGTACTGATGCTGAACCATGGAGACAGGTGGGGTTGGAGTAAAAGATGCTTGGTCTACCAAACCAACCCACCCTAGCCCCGTGCCATGCAGGCATGCACACTTCCCTTCCCCTGGGCTGCTGTAATTTCCATGCGCAGGGAAGCAGGTGCTGAGCTGCTCCCGGCTGGCTCTCCCCTCTTGTGGCTCTGCCTGCTTTGGCTGCTGCCCCATTAGCTTAGTGGCCAGCCATCTGCGACGGGCCTGCCGCACAGCCCTGCTGGAGGCGCGGCGGGTGGCCCCCTGTGTAACAGGGAGCTTTGCCATTAGCGCCTTTAATATTCTGACACCTCAGCACAGCCTGCTATTACATGCAAACGCTGATCGCCCTGTGAAATTACATTGCTGGGCCCGCGAAATGGAATCGTGTATAATCAGCCTCCTCCATGCACTGTCAGTCCCATCACAAACACGGCGCCCGGCGGCTTACGGGGGCTTAGCAGCTGCGACAAGTGTATTGGGTTTAATAGATGAAGTAGCCCTCATCGGCAGCAGCATCAGATCCTTCAAAGAGGAAAGAAGAGGCATCAACAGCTGCTGTGGTGTCCCTGCCCACCCGTATACCACCTATCAGGGGCCAGAGAGTGGGATGGACACAGAGTGGGCAGGGCAGTGGTTGGGCTAAAGGCCTAGAACCCTACTTGGACTACAGACAGAGGCACAGACTGCTCTGCAACTTCCACAGTTCCAAGCCAGCACCAGCACATCCAGTCTATCCAGCCTCCCCATGAAGTGGGGAGGAGCAGGCCTTTAACCACACCTCTGGATGACTTGTCACCCTGTGGGCCTAAGGCTGATGAGTCATTTCCCAAGACTAGGAACCAAATCAAACCACCTGCCATTCCTATAACATCCAACAGAGATGAAGCTAAAAAGGTGATACGCTAAAGGATGGGAGAGAGAAAGTCTGACAGACATGAAG